TACGTATTTACTATTAGTGTCGTCGTCGTAGACTATATAATTAATAACTACGTATGTGTGTACTATAGTAACGTAGTTACGGTACCGGTCGGTAGTAGTAGATAGTATCTATACTATATATATATATATATATATATATATATATATATATATATATATGGGTTTGTCTAAAGTTAACAACTCTTCAAAATACAAAGGTTTAAGTTAGAAAGAGTTGTGATGGGTGTATTTATCAAAACAATCATCACATTTTTATTAAAAAAAAAATTTTAAACAAGTAACTTTACCATTTAGCCATGACAAATTTGAAATTTTTATAAAAATATAATAGCATTTTGGAAGTTAATGTCCTGAAACTTTATTTATAGAGTGCCATTGTCTTTTAGTTAAAATTTCAACTTTACCATTTATAGAGATGACAAAAGTACCTTTTGTTCCTTAGTAATATTTACAAAATTACCCCACAAAAGTAATTTTTTTTAAAAAATAAACTACAAAATTAATAAATCCACCCTTCACAACTCTCACTATATTGAATCTTTGTAATTTGAAGAGTTGTGAAGTTTAAATTATCGAGATATATATATATATATATATATATATATATATATATATAAAAGTTGGCGCCAATCACAATGTCATGTCTCTACACTATTTTATTTTTAAATTTTTTTTTATAAACTATTTTGACGCCAAATTTTGGACATCCATTCCTCTATTAACTCATATTAACGAAAAATATAAAAAAACTATTTTCAATAAAGTAAAATGACCAAAATACCCTTGAAAGCTTCAAGGGGTATTTTGGTCATTATATTTTATCAAAAAATTATTTTTAATATTTTTTATAGGTGCACTCCAATGAGAAGATGACCCATACTAAATTTCATATTAATAAAATTTGTATAAAAAAAAACTAAAAATAAAATACATTGAGACATCGGATATAAGATCAAAAGGTGAGTGGCTCTTTTGATCAAAATTGGACGGCTAGACGGTAAGGGGAGGATAGAACTTTTACACTGTAGGAGAAGCATATAAACCTTTTCCTCTATATATATCGTCTACCCTCATCACCATTCAAACGTCATCGCACGGTCACAATTGTGTGGTAGTTTTTATTTTTTATTTTTTTTATTCATCAGAATGCTTTGAAATTTCGAGCATGTGTCAAAAAATTGATGTTAGCTGTATCGATTAAAAGGGAAAACATATCCATATATATGTATGTGGAAAACACTACGCAACGTCTATAGGACCAAACTTCGCAATATATATATATATATGAAAAACACTACACAACACCTATAGGCGAAAATGAACAATGATTTCGCCTACCTTCATCACCATCTAAACTTCATCGTACGGTCACAATGTTCGATAGTGTTTTATTTTTCATTATTTTTTTACAAATGGAATGACCTGAAAATTGGAGTGTGTATTCATAAAAAATAGGGCAATCTTTGAAAAATATAAAAACAATATTTTACTTGAAAAAAGTGACCAAAATACACCCAAAAAGTTTTGGGGGTATTTTGGTCAGTTTGTTTTCATTAAGAATTGTTTTTATTTTTTTATTAGATGCGCATCAGTAAGAGGTACATACCTTCCAAATTTAAAGTCATTCTAATTTGTAAAAAAAAAAATGAAAAATAAAACACTACTGGACAATCGTAACCGCTCGATGAAATTTGGATGCTGATGAGGGTGAGAGAAATCACTATTTATTTTCGCCTATAGGTGTTGGGAAGACTTTTCTTATATATATATATATATATTAGGTTTTTTTAGAGTTAACAACCCCTCAAAATACAAATACAAAGGTTAAAAGTAGAGGGGGTTGCGATTGGTGTATATAAAAAAGATAATTCCTTTTTGTTTAAAACTTATTTTAAGGAAAAAGTTTATATACAGTCGAGGCTCTAAACAATCAAATTAGAGCCTACCTCAAAAAATTCACTAAAAGGGGTTGTTTTGATGTCCGAATATCTTCAAATCGATCATCTTGACACCAAGATGCATGGACATAAAAAAAAAAAATTGGATTTCATGTTTTGAAAATAGCGATCTTAGAATGCCTTTTGGACCGTCAATTTTCAAGATTTTCAAGTTTTCATATATCTGCTTTATCTACATTATTTTTGAAGATTTAAATTTTATAATTAGAGATGAAAATATATTTGAAGGCTATCACAAATATTTTCAATATTCAAACCACAATTCTTGACACTATTTAAAGGTGGGCTCTACTTTGATTGTTTAGAGCCTGGCCTCTATACAAACCACACCCTTATTTTAGTAACTATTAAGCAAGAAAAAATTTGAAATTTTTACAAAAATACAATGACATTTTAGAAGTTAGCCTCTTGGAATTTTATTTGTAAAGTGCTATTGTCTTATAGTAAAAATTTCAACTTTACCATTTATGAAGATGACAAAAGTCGCCCTTGCCTTCTAGTAATATTTACAAAATTGCCCTTATTTAATAATGAAAATATTACAAAGAGTAATTTTGTTAAACAAAAATAGACTACAAAATTAATAAATCCATCATTCACAACTCTCTCTATCTGTAACTTTTGTAATTTGAAGGGTTGTGAAGTTTAGATTTCCGTATATATATATATGAGCAATGATCTAATTCAACGGTTGTATCATAGTATAATGCAACGACACTTCTAGAAAACCATATTTGTGGCACTTGTATGATCCCAAATTTTGCATACACACTCTCTTTCTCTCAATAATCAATCCCCACAAAAAAAAAAAGTTCAATTTGTACCTTAGATATGGTCAAAATGAGTCCACTCTAAAAACGAATCTAGACCATTCTTTTTGTGAATTTCTAGAACTTAGCCTTTATAAACTTAAAATTATTATTATTTTTATTTGTAACATTGTTCATCTAATAATAATAAATCCATCCAAAAAAATTAGAAATGAAAAAATCCTTCTAAAGCCTAGATTTAAGCATCTTTTTTAACATTGTTCATTTAATTGTTTATGAGTTCAAAATCCAACTTTTTAGTGAAAATATCAAGAATATACCTTAATTTTAACTTCATACTATCCTAAACCTCTTTCATATATATATATATATATATATATATATATATATATTTTTTTTCTTACTTTTTATTTATTTTTTGACTAAAATGACATTCACAGTTATCGTATGATCGTGAAGGCATCACGATACTTAGAATATCATGAAGACCATGAAATATATCACAATATTTAAAATATCGTGATGACCACAGGGTGTATCATGATATTTTAACTACTGTGATAGCCTAAATGTTTTGAGGGATCATTGAAGTAATGGTTTCAAGATATTTTATCATGGCATTTTACACACAGGATATGATTTGCATATCTTTCGTAGAATTTCCCTCCTTAGTGGAGCTGTTGGGCTGCCTACATAGATGTGAATCACTCCATTGACGATAAAGTCCCCGGTGCATCTGGTTTAATCAATCTCAGGCCAATAGCAAGACTCCAATGAGCCCCAGGTTCCTTTAATGAATCTCATAATAAGTGCAAATTGACTTATGAGAATACATCTTTAGCCATATTGTTAGGCGATTTGAGAGTAAGTTCTAGGCTCAATTTGGATTGACCATTTACTAAGGAATAATCCGGTTCTCCTCCACCCATTCATGAGTAGAAAAGGTCATTATTTGGTCAGCTCAATGCTGTATCTATTCATGGATAAGGGTCATTTCTCTCTCTACTAGTAATATTAAGATTTATAAAAAATGTTTTGTGTTGGAGGTCACTTATAGGGAAAAATATAGAATTAGACCATTTACTTTTGGTACAAAGTGGTTAATTGAATGTGAAATTGGGAGACTGCATTTATTCTATTGACCAAGATCAAACTTCAAAAGAAAATTTTTAAACTTTGTGACAGATCCAAGTTATCAAATTTCATATCGGATAGTTGTAAGTAATTGTGACTACCTTGTATCAAAAGTAAATAGTTTCATTATACACCATCCCCACTTTTAGTTTGAGGTGGCAAAGACATTGTATTTCTTTTGACAAACAATACGGTGGCCTCTTAATATAATGTTACCCGTTTTTTAATTAATCGTAATTGTTTAATTTTTGTTTTTTTTTTTGCTTTATTTTTTCTCAACAAAAGAATAGCTTGGCCGGTAGGCCTAGAGAGAAAGAGCCTTGAGCTTGAATTATTTTATCAGGGTTGTGCAAACACAATCAATGGAATATTATTCCAATATATAAATATGACAAATACATACACCCTTTATTACACAACAATTAACTATTATGACACACAAAGCA